TCTTTCATTACAGTATCTTTGATCGCCTCCTCGTCCTTAGCGATGAATGGTATAACATGAGGATTGACTTGAGAAACAATAAAGTGATTAACATTGAACATTTCTGCCAACCGAGTCATTGGTAGATCGTTGTCCACACTCCCATCAATCCAACGTTGGGGTGTAGGATTCCAAGACGAAGTCTCTCCCGTAAGCGGATTTTTCATGAGCAATTCCGCTGCAGAAAATAGAAGAGGCACCGAGCATGACGCAGCGACCGCTGACCAAATCATGACATTCGGTGCTGTAACATAGTTGAGTAGTCGAGGTAACTCATATACCGAGGCAGATGATACACAGATATTGAGAATGCGACGAGATCGATTGTAAGCCTCTTGAAATGTCATGTCTCCCAAAAGTTCTCGCATGACTCTCGTTAAGTGTTTAATATCGATCCACGCCCCTTCTGTCAACAGCCGTCTGATTCTATCCAGGACCCCATCTTCGTTTCCATTTTCTTCGAACACTGCAAGGTCTCCGTGCGGGAATTCCTTCAATACGTCCGGGATCTCTTCATCAGTCCTTGCGCATAATACAGCACAAACTATACTACCAGCAGAAGCACCCGATATGATTCTTGGCAGTAGACGAGCCTCGAACAGAGCTTTCAAGACCCCGACGTGGTTCATTCCAAAAGTTGCTCCTCCACTCAGTAGTAAGGCACTTCTCCCAAAAGCCTGCCTAGCATACACGACCTGCTCTAGTATATCCTTTGTCTCCAGTCCAACCGGCAAGGCATACTTGCTGTTTTCAACCAATGCGCGTATCGTATCCAACGTCGACTCAATATACCTCTCGATAAGAACTTTCGTTCCAACATGACTATGCTTGTACAGTCTAATATTGCCCATGCCTCCCAGATCCCTCGACAATGTTGTGCGCACCAATGTAAGCATCTTCTTGATATCACAATCGATTCTAGCCGTATCCATCTGTTTAGTCCTGGCTTCGATTAAAGCAGCGTCGAAGTCGGTCGACAGTGAATCGAGTTTCCATGCTTCATTATCCTCGAGTATATCTAGCTCTTTCGCGGCACTCCTCCAAACTTCTAACGTTTCTGCATTCTTCATCCGCAGATTTAAGATTTGTATCCTCTCCTCTTTTTTGCGCAAGGCAAGCCGTTCTTCTTCCGTCAACCCATCTCGCACTTGTAGTATCTTATTGTTGAGGATATCTGCGCCTGTTTTCAAGATCCTGGTGGCCGGTCCAAACAAGCCAACCGACGGCTCCGAAACTTTCTCTCTATCATACCCATATTCATTCGCATTAGACGATTTGGCAGATGTAGCGATAGCATTACTATTAACGACACAAAACTGTGGAGTCTGAAGGTATCCGAACAACACCATGCTTCTCCCAGTTCTCCATTCGAGGCGTACTTTCTAATGGTCCTTCACAAACAAAGCCTTTGGTATGGTTGCGGAAATGTGTCCGTAGCTACAGTGTTGGGGTATGAAAGAGGGAAAACAATCATTAACAGTTCAGAAGTTATTATAATTATTTTTGTATTATTTAATTTATTGACGTAGGGAAGTGCCAGTGCCGGTAATTGAATTGAATACCTAGTATTGCATGCAGATCTCCTGTGTCAGTCTAGTCCATGCAGCGTCACAGGGCACGAGTCAATCTTACTTTCCAACGGATCTTGTTCAAATTTCCGAAACAAGGAATACCTAAGCTCAGCTGATCGTACGGAGATTCTCAATAAGTGTCTAGTAGAAAGTTTATGGGAGAAGACGTAAGAATCAATTGTCTTATTTTCTTCTTTCCGACATCTTCTTTGTTGTTCAATTGCGGTGTACTCGAGTACATGGTAAAAGAGCACAAATCATCATCAAGACTAATGTATTTTGAGCTTGGCTGTTAAAGCTGGGCAGCAAGTATGTAACCCCAAGTGCTTGTTGGTATTTACAGCGTTTCCCCACACCAACAGCATAGCATATTACCGTAAACCTTGAAAAAAAAAACTTGGGGAGATCATGTAGTACCTGGAGTGCGAGAGTGCATGCATGACAATTTGATATACGTACATGCGAATTAGATTTCCGGCGGTACCATCGGGTCAGTTCAGGATCATCATCTCAGCTGAAAAGATCTCGATTCGTTTCTGTACGCAGGGTAGCTTGTATTCTTAATGATGGGTAGGTTGCATTTCTCCTCATCAGTGTTGTTCCGCTAGCCACTTCATATCAAATTTAAGACATCTATGCATTATCTATCAAAATCGTATTGAGGCAGATCCTGATGGCTGTATAGGCAAAAGTAATAGGTAATAAGTAAGATACATTGGCCTTTTGCACAAGTCCCTACTTAGACTACCAGTTGAGAATCTATCGTTTCTTGGGAACATTCTGGATAATGTTAATCAAGCATTTATGTCAAGCTGATTATCTTTGGCGTAAAAGAGGCTTCAACCAAACCTATCGGGTCGTCCTCATTGACCCCATCTATGACAACCTTGGAATGCATCATCTGCTATGCAATATGATCTCCACATTGAAGATCAAAAGATGCGAAAGGCTCAAAGCATGTGAAATTCATCGTGCATCACATTTAGCATGTGAAAATTAAACCGCCACAATTGAACAGTCTTCATGTAGATGAGTTCAAAAGCCTAAAAATCTTTATTCAAAATGTACTTGCTATATCTTTCTATGGTAACCAAGCAAAAAGGGGTATACGCTTGTTACGTTATCAAACGCCGAGTTCCTCCCATATGGTGAGGCTTGATACGTAGAACAACGCCGAGTTCGTAACCTATTTTCCAAACAAAACAAACAACCCAAACCCATTATCCGCGATCCTTTTTTGCATTTCTAATAGAGCTTGCCATCCGGTCCCATAACTCCTTCGGAAGAAGCCATATTGCACTGTCTAAATAGTCTCTTTTCCTCGGGACTGAATGCACCTACAACCGAATGTAAGACTCCTTGATTGTTGAACAAGACCAAATCGCCTTCCACCCAATCATGTGGATACACGAATTTTGGACTGATAGCTGGTCGCTGTAAGCGATAAACTAAGTCTCTCACTTCCTTGAGATCTGTCATAACCTCTCCATTTGGTAGATGAATGGCTTTGATGGCACTAGGATGGATTTGAAGTGCCAAATTACCCGTGACTGGATTCTTCCAGCACATAGGCAGAATCTTGATGTCCTTTTCATCAACAGGAGGAAGCTCAGACAAAGGCAATTCATTCCCATCGGAAACCATACCAAGACCGGTGGAGCGTGACCTTGCAGGAGACATCCAAATATATGGATGTGGTGCGTATTCTACTTTCGCGCCACGAACGAACTCCTTATCCTCTTCGCTTAACAAATTGTACATATTTTGACCGGAGACAAAAGCAGTGGTACCAAGAGGGACATCCATTTCTTCGCCAGTTCCATCATCATAACGAAGGGTTTGGCGACGACCAGCGGGAACTTTTACAGCCATCAACGATGTTACTTTTGGTGGATTGAGAGCATACAGAGCAGCATCAATGTGCCATCTGTAGAAGCGTGTGAACGCCAAATCGTCTTCCTCTGGAACAGCGGTCTTGTGGAAGACTTTGTGATGAGGGTGCTTGAGTGTAATGTTCTTCAATCCTTCATATTCTTCATAAAATCCATTGCCGATGACTTGAACTTGAGTCTGATGAGGGATTGTTTTCAAGTCCGGGTGAAGAACTGATCGTTTGGCATCAAGAGTTTTGCCATGGCCATATGTTTCTAAGGGAAATGATTAGATACGATATTCAAATGAACGGAGGGAAAGGACTTACCAGCCGTGGGATCAAATCTACGTGTAAGCTCATATTGAGCTTTGGGGGAGAGGCCGGCCTGGTTCTTGAGTACTACAACATGGTAATTATATAAAGCATTGCGAATAGCTTTAAAGTCCTCTTCGCTGAGGTGTTCCAGGTCGACATTGTTGATCTCGGCTCCAAGGTTGAGAGAGGAATTCTCTGGTGAAGAGAAAGGCTTCACTTCTAAAGTCTTGACGGCCATTTGATTTTCTGGGTTTCCGATGTTGTTGTTTGTCTAGAATTTATATTGAAAGGAAGAAGATTGTGACTGGCGTTTGATTGTACACGACCGTGGAAGGTCAACGATTTATGTATTCAAGTTGTGAGCGAGGGGCGACGGAAACGTCCGAAAAGAGCAGGATGAATTTATGCATAGGGAAGGCCGGAAAAGAACTGACTCCACGCGTTTCCCCGACTGGTGCAAGAGTAAATCGGAATAACTTTGATAAGCCATTCTTGATTTGCATATGGTAAATTTGTGTGCTTTTAGTTGAATGTGTTGGTGAGGAAGGGTTTATCAACATAGAAGATAAGAAAGGCGGAGCTCGCCGCAAGACCCTTAGATTCAAGATGTGGAGAAGCCTTAATAAAACGTGCATCAAGAGCTATTTACTCGTTGTTGTTATCAATCAATTGAGGCAGGTCGTTATCATCAACATATGTGTGGGCTACTTATGTTGACCAGAGAAAAATCCGTTTTCTCAAAAATGTCTACCAAGTCTCTTAGTCAATCTTCTATATCAAAATTCAAAATACACACAATTTCCAATCAATAGTTACGATTCTTTAGCTTTTGCTCGTTCTCTGTACACTCACTCATTAGGCCAATCATGTGAACAAAAGGTCAATGACTTGATTTCCCAAGTTGCAAATCTTCTTGTTACTCTTGTTTGTTGAATCGAGGCGATCATCAAGCTCAAGCCACACTATGCAGCGGATTTCACTGTGGCGTAGTGGCGACGTTCCATGTCTATGATGACATTGATCTTGGAAGTATTTCATGAATCAAAATCATTGTCAGAATTCCTTCTTATATCTGCATCATTATCATCAAATTGTTTCATATGAACTTTCTAAGTCCTTTCAAATTTCCCACCCAGGTCAAAATATTCACCTATCTATTTCAAGCCCGTCGAAATCTCCACATAACTCCAACATCAGCAAACATGAGTTGGATGGATTCGTGGTCGCGCCCCTCAAAACATTCCGCTGTTCCCCCACCTCTCTACTTGACGGCTGGAGAAAGTGTCCCTTACTGTCTAACATGTGGTCGAGTCATGAGTCAGCACCGTGATGAACGTTTCTAAGCTCTTTCTAATACATCCAATAGGCACCAAAAAGGCCAGCAAAAAATCCAACAATGAGGTCAAATACTGTTCAGACAGGTGTCGGAACCGAAAGCCGGGGAAACTAGATAGAAAGATCGAGCAAGCCATTGTTTCACTGTTGGACCAGGAGAAAGACTCGGGTCTGGAGAAGACTGGTGCAAAGGATCGATTTGTGAAAGGAGACCATCGAATTATTGTTACCTGTGATGAAATTGAAGAGATTGTATTTGGGAGTCGATTTGACCCCGAGAAAGTTTATGGGAGGAGGAAAAATCGCAGAAGTCGAGCAATCGGAGGATCGAATGTTGATGCAGAATGGAAAACTGTTGATATGGAAAGTAGTGAGGACTCCGCTAGCGATGATGCACTTCATGAGCCTGTGAATACAAGAACTGGGCCAATGATACGCCCACCACAGACTGAATCGGATATCAATTTCAGTGTTGGGGGCGAGAGGGGTAAAGCTGAGAGAACGGAGGAGTCGGCTTCGGACTTACAGAAGAAGGTTGATGGCCAAAAACAAGCGGAAGAAAGAGAGATGGTTCGGAGGGCAGCTAGGAGAGCTGTTGTCTTTGGCTTTATCGTTGAACAGCCTCCCGAAACTAGTCCATCTCAAGCCTCTAAGGGCTCAAGGCACAAAAAGACGGCAAGCTGGGAGGAGAATGTTGCAAAAGAGCCAATCAGGCGCAAATGCGAGGCTTTGATGCAAGGCTCAGTAGTTGAGCCAAGTTACGCCAAGGGGAATTGGTCTATAAGATGGCGGGAATAGTTAGTTATCTCTTCCCATGACACCCACCATTGCTTATGCATTGAGGTAAGCACTCGCATCAGAGGGATAAAAACAGAAGATCCCGTTAGATTGTATTGGACGTGGTCTGAACAAAATTCGAACAATCGCAAAATTCAACTTTTGTTTGATCATTGGGAGGCACATGTATGGGAGTAGCCAGAAAGTTCCGAATGGTCGCTACAACTTAGACTCTTTGTCTCAAAAGTTATCGAGATAAGAGGAAGCAGATAAACGGATTCTGAACAGAAAAACCCAGTCGTCGAGATTATCGAGGCTCAGAATAAGACAGTGATGAAAGTTGATTACACGAATTCTACAGATTCTCCAGAGCTTGTGAAGTGCGCAACTGCGTGAGTCTTTATTTGTGCGAGGTCGGCTCGACTTTCACCGGAATCACTTTTTATTTACCTGGGTGGATTTTGTGATACATACTCGCTCTAATCTCGTCGTACTCATCTTCCGCATATGTGGTTCGGCAAAGGCGGGGTGTATCAAAGGCGCCACGATGGATTGCATAAGATCATTAAATAAAATTGGCCTCTTCAACCCCGTGATTTTCCCATATCAGAAGCATGGAATGGGCCATTGAATGGTCGCAGTTCACTAGCTTGACTTTCAGACAATCAGCTTTCTGATATCAAATCTATATTGAAAGATGATAGGATGGGCCGATCGAGTGTTCCAAGCTTCGAAGGAATGATGTGCAAGCCAAAATGTGATTCACTATCACCCGCATATCTTCTACCCTGGTCGTAATTGCTGACCTTTCTTTTTGGGGACCCTGTCAGATTCCATGACTCGAGCCAAGTACTTGGTTTATTAACCCATTCCATCCTATAATCACATCTTACCCCTCTTCAGAATCTCTTAAATAGTGAACATATCCATTGCAAAAAGCTATACACGGAACAGGACCATAGCCATAATGTTTTCTACTGAAAATGGCAGTTTCGTTCTTATTACACTTGTTTTCTGTTCAATTGTTGCTAAGATTGCTTGGGAGCTTTTCTTCTCTCCATTGAGGCATTTCCCGGGCCCGGTCGCTGCAAAGTTCACGAACATTTATCGTGCATTTACAGTGTACTTAGGTTCCGTGGACAAAACGCAAAGAAACTGGCATCGTGATTATGGCGTAGCTGTTCGAATTGGTCCGAAAACCATCAGTCTTAGTGATCCATCTTTGATTGGGACGATATATGCAACAAAAAATGCTTGGCTCAAGGTAGGTGAATGGAGCTTCAATAGCCACAGTCTTCCAACTTTGGCACTAACAATTCTTTGCTAGAGCGAGATGTACAAGCCCAATGATGCCCTTATTGAAGGGAAACGGATGTCAAATATTTTCAATTCTAGAGATCCTTTGTGGCATGAAAGATACGTTAAACCCATCAGGAGTCTCTGGACCATGACAAAGGTTCTGGACATCGAACCCTTGGTTGATGAAACTTTGGGAATATTCATCGACAAACTAAGTGCGAATTTTGCGGATGAATCGAAGACATGCATGGTGAATGATTGGCTGGCGTACTGTATGTTTCATGCTGCCATAGAAGATTTCCAGTGCTGATCTGAAATTCCATAAAAGTCGCTTGGGATGTGGCGGCAAACATCAGCTTTGGACGACCATTCGGATTGATTGAACAAGAAAGGGATGTTGATAACATCCTTCTTGAATCCCAAAGGTCGCTTTACTACTTCTCCGTCGTCAGTCAAATTCCATGGATTGACCATTTTCTTGACAAGAACCCAATAATTCGGATTGGTCCCAGGCCTACTGTAACGGGGATACTGTACTGCTTTAAGGTTGTTGCTCAATATCGAGAAGAGCTCTTATCGGCGGGTCACAAGCACAAAGCCATCAACCACTACCTCGATAAATATTTCAAGCTCAAAGAAACGAACCCGGACCTAATTGATGACAACCAAATTGTAACATATCTAATACTCAGTATTCTTGCAGGCGGCGACACGACCGCATCAACCATGAGGGGTATTCTATACTACCTTTCCAAAAATGCATCCGCTTACACAAAACTGATCGACGAGCTAGACAATGCGAATCTCTCACTGCCAGCGCAATGGAAGGATATACATGATCTTCCTTACTTGAGTGCAGTGCTCCGTGAGGCTATGCGCATTAATCCGGGTTCTGCTATGATGTTAGAGCGAGTTGTTCCCGATTCTGGATTTACTCTTCCCGACGGAAGATTTATTCCCGGTGGAACATCCGTGGGTATCAACCCCGGAGTCTCGAATCGGGACCCTGAAACCTTCGGATCTGATGTCGATTCCTTTAATCCCGATCGCTGGCTGCAAATGAAAGGAGAGTCTCAAGAAAATTTTGAAACTCGTCACAAACAGATGGTTAAAACTGTCGATTTTATATTCGGTGGTGGTAGTCGAGTATGCATGGGGAAATATTTCGTTCAGCTGGAATTGTGGAAAACGATGGCTACTCTATACAGTATTTTCGATGTGAGTTCTTCAAGCTTTATTACCCTTTCCGTGTCAGACACCTCCGCCATATTTCAAATATCTATCGCATTTGATTGCTGAAACTTGTTTCACTGTTTAGATAAAACTCGAGGATCCCAATCATATCTGGAAATCTCATAACGCCTTCTTCACATATCAATGGGATGTTCCCATGAAGATATCCAGGCGGACTAGAGCTCGAACTTAATCCGACATGAACAATTTAAGGTAATAGTTTGTGGAAGTATATCTAGAATAGCTAGTATGAAATGATATTCGCCTTGGAGGGGAATACTCACTCCGTTCGGTTTAGGTTCTTTTGTTTAGTCAGAGTGTTAACATGATACCCCTAAGCTAGTTTCCTGGAATTGGTCAAAAGGTTGAGGTCACAGTTAGTCAATCTACCTTTAACGAAAGCAAAACTAGCTGCTGTTCACATTTCTCTTGCGTCAAGACAAACTGGCTTTCCAGTATTTGGAAATCCACTCTTTCTCTTAGCTTTGTGCACTTCTCAACATTGCTTGAGTGGAGAGAAGTCGTTTTACTACCTATCAATGAACGCAGCAGCATTCTGTGCAAAGTGACTCCACGCATAGTTCAGGTTCCAGACACACCAAAAATAAATTCACTAAATAGCGCTCAAACACCCAAGCCCTCTGAAGAACCGACCCTTCAGTCAAGCCCCTAAAAGCCAATGTTCGTGATCATATGAGGATCTAATTGTTTTGAACCGACATACCATGGATCCTCACGCGCCTCCATAGCACTTCCATGGCCCTCGCTCCAGACTCCAGACTCTAGTAACAAGAAAAGGGTTGGTTGAAATGAGAGTTAAGTTAAGGAACACAGTCCCAGCACATATATCAAAGTAGCTGCACACTCCTAATTCCAGAACTGAAGTTAATCCTTTTCACTAAATATCGCATTTTAGTAATCCTCAATTTCTTTTCACTTTCATACCCTCAAAAATGATTCACTGTATATATACTTGTGATCCATCACTAACGTAAAATCGACTCTCGTCTCATCTTCTATCCGCACCCACCAGTAAAAAAGAACTTGTCCACTTCAAACCAAAAGAAAACAAAACAGCAAAAGTTCAGCCTTTTCGGCTTAGTCTCCCAGTTATGCCAGTACTATATGGACATCACTGTACCTAGTAACGATCTTTTTCCCATTTTGAAGCGGGTACTATACCACTGCGCCATGGGAGATGTGTTCGGATGCTAGGATCTATCTTGTTTGGGATTATGTATGTGCGATAGACATAGGATTCACTAGTTGGCTGGCCAGTGTATTTTGGTGATGATGTTTGGTAGAGCTCGAACGGTTTGAATTGGTGCTTTAACCCAATCATTGTCCTTGAATATGTAGAATCCATGTCAATACTCAATAGTGAATTCATTTTTGGTACCGTCGAGAGGGTATTAGATATAGTAGTCAACTCAATATCGAACGATTTTATATCCTCAGGGAGATCATTTCGTAAAAGGTTGTATAAAGCCCATTCTTCAAACTTAATTTCGAATAGAGGTCTCTGTACGACACAAATTCGTACTTACTAATGGAGGCGGATCTCTCTAATGTTCAAGATTGATTCCTTTTCGAGGATCTGGGCAGCTATTTTAGCATTCTGGATGAAGATGGCCACTCATATCAATACAGTTGTTTTAGAGCCCATTGTCTAACACTTCTGGTGATGATTTGTTGAGGCTTGGGTTGGATCTAATGCGAGTAACCCCTACCTGGTTGCATCTACATAGTCAAGATATTGAGTCACTGAAGATATACATCACTAAAGTCTTGATACTATGCATTACTGTGAAATAATTATCCACGGTGAGTGATTTCAGATAATGACATGCCAAGAATTTGTTGAGTATAAGCCTGGTAATTCAATGCTGAGTGCGTCGAGTACTTTTAGGTCTGGATAAAACTCTTAGTGAAGATCAAAAGTCCTCCGGGATTTTATATTCTAGGTGGAAAGTAGAGAACTGTCGACGTTGCAGTAGATTGCAATGAAATTTCCCAACCGTTTATCCAATTGGGTCGATCATTCGACTGTGCCATTGAGAGATTAGCCCTCATGGGTCTTGCTGCGTATTATGACAGACTAAAGCATCAAATCTGTTGGTTGAAAGCCAATATATTGAGAATTTAATCGCTTATCCCAAAATTCTACAGAGCGTCATTGGATTTTGTGGAAGTACCGATTTAGTAGCTACAGAACTGACAGTTTAATGTACCCTGAGCCATATCAATATACAGATCTGAATTCGGTTAATAAACTCGCTTAGTCCACGGATTTTGACCAAGGCAAGAACTCCATCCGCACGACTGGTCCTTAATTTGCTATCTCGAGATTCACTGCTCGTGGTGCTTCTCGACAGATCGACAAGAAGCTGCACTATTGGCTGCATATCTTTCATTGCACCTCTGGAAGATCCCAGAATCTTGTTCAAAATTATTTGTCCTAGAACATATATTCCTCTTGCACTTACAAGTGAAGAATCAGAGTACAATTAGTACCAAAAATAAGCGAGACTAACATCTTTGACGATAACCAATGTTAAGTCCTTTGACGTGTTAGTCGAATGGTGGTATGGGACTCAGAAATATCAACATTTTGAAGTAAAGTAGTAAGCGAATAAGGCATCTCGTGCTTGTAAATCTAATGAGATGTAACAGACTGATTCAAATCCAATTGACGACGCTTTCTGGTGATCAATTTGCTTTTTAGATTCAAACCGGCGTATATCACCACACCTACAACAACGCAATGGCCGTTTCAAACCTCACAGCCGATTGACTTCAGTTTTTTATGTAGATCAATATAATGAAAGACAATGAGCAGACCTCCAGCTCACTTAACTCTGTATCTTCCGCAACCTCTAGATAGTTTGCCATGAGATACCACTATTGGCTTTCTGACAATGACGAATAGAGGCATTCGATAAGCACAAATTCAGAAAGAATATATTTCCCAAATCACAATATATTTTCAAGCAACAGTCTGACATGATACCCGCTGTACGTTCTTTTAGCTATGAGCAAGAGTATATCTGTCCGTGACTCTTCAGATAATGCATCTATTCAAAACTCAGCTTTCATCTTAACACCAGCTGTGAATCCGACATTTATCTTCAAAACTTGGGAATCGAATTGAAGAATGTCTACTTAGACATTTCAGAGGCTAATTCATCCAAAGCTGATTTCATTCTGGCCGGATGTTCCTAATCTGATAGGTCTCAGATGTTTTTATTGAATGGATGGACATGAAGATGGAATGTAAGCTTCCATGACCGAGTCTCTTAATCAATAATGCCATCACGCATTTTAATAGGCCTCGTAGTAAGCGAAGAAGCAATGGAAACTAATCACTCTCAATATCACCTACTCTACAAACCATAAATTCATTTGCAAATAAATGCTCGAATCTAAAAAAAAGTCAGAACGTATTCGGACCTCCTTATAGTTACAATTAGGATTATCTATATTGAATATAACACCACAAAGAGTCTAAATGTTGAAGTCCTTTTGAAGAGTGGTGAATTCCCGCTTGTTGCTTCGCTGACGTAGAGCGGGCACGTAACCGATATTGTATCCTTGCATCGGCTCGGTACCACGTAAATCCGCCATGTCCCCGAAATGTGTTCAATTGGAGCTCTTACGTGGCTCCGAGCTCCCCTCGTGAATTCCAATTCCCAAATTCCAACACACAACGAATTCCTCAATCAAAATGCGTTTCTTACGCTCTTTAATACCTTCATTGGTACTTGCTGGTGCCGGAATTGTAACGGCAGCTTCATCCTGGAGCTTTGATGAAGCTATTGTTTCTGTGAGCGGAAAGAGTGCTGGGGGTTTTAAGGACAAGTACGTGGGTTTGGGAAGATGACATATTTTTGAAAGACATATGGTTTTTAAAGTAAAATATACTAATTGATTGCTTTACAGACTATCAGACCATGTCCCTCTTGCGAAAGCGGTTTCTCTTGGCGCAGCGGACACTCTCAAAATCGTCCTCACGGCCACTGAAGATCGTGCTGCCAAACGACCACATCAAGCATTCTTACTCTTGAGAGATCAAGACACTGGACTCGAAGTTACTTTCCCATTCTCCGTGAAGGAGTCTGGTAAAGGAAAGGTTGACTTTGTAAGTTTTACAGGCAATTGAGTAAACCGATTGGATCATGCTAACGGATATACAGTCTCAAAAAGATCTTCCAATCCAACTTCTCACAAGCTCCAAACCTTTACGTGCCACTCTTGTTCTTGCGTCCTTTGGCTCCGCACAAGCATTCAGCAACCACGTCTTTGACCTCGCTCTGTCCCTCGATGCCAGCCAGCCAATACCTGCCTACGAAAAACCATTGAGATACGGAAAACTACCTGAGATCAACCACATCTTCCGCGCCGATCCTCAGAGTGGACCTAAGATCTTTTCCCTCGTATTCGCGCTCGCAGTCCTAGCAACTGTTCCAGTGTTGTTGGGTGCTGTACGTATTTACCATTCAAATCTCTTGGGTCCTAGTACTAACACTTTCTTAATAGTGGGCTTACCTCGGAGCCAATCTTTCTCACTTATCGAAAGCCACCTCTGCCGCACCAATCTCACACGCCCTATTTTATGGCTCAATCATTGCCATGGAAGGAATCTTCTTCTTATACTACTCAAGCTGGAACTTGTTCCAGACTTTACCCGCTGCAGGTGTTGTAGGATTAGTCGCATTCTTGAGTGGGAGCAAAGCGCTCTCCGAAGTGCAAAGTCGACGATTGGCAGGAGAGAGATAAGATTATGGTTATATCGAAGTGCAAAAGTTTGGAGGATGTTCGGGACTGCATATAGAATATGTGATATAGGAGTGAGGTGTACAATATCAAAAAAGAATGGCAAGACAGTCAGCGTGCAAACTTTGGACCCTAAGAGAAAATGATACTTTTGTCTTTCGATTTCGCCCAAAAAAAAATAGGTATATCCATAGGTATTGCAATCAGCTGTAGCAACTTTCCCATGCTTGTCGTTTTGGTCGCCTTGATTCTTCCACGCAACCATTATGTCAATTTCCTCGAAGATTGGAGCCACTCAATTCATCTGTGCCTTCGAAAAGTCGAGCTCTGGATGTTCCTTTTGAAACTTCTCCAAAATCTCTTTCTTTTTCCTCTCCTCACTGCTGATTCCCCCATTCGCTTCTTTGTCTCTCTGTTCCCACATCATCTTCTCCACCATGCCCCTCGTCTCTCCGTCTAAATCTCCCAATTTGCTATTCTCAGGTGTGATCTTGGTAACATCTATCTTTGGTGCCGAGACGACAACATGTGCCCACCATTCCATTTTGTTTACTTTATCGAAGTGGATTTCGAGAGCTTTGCTACCAGAGGGAAGACTAGACAATGTCCAGGTACTGTCGTCGAGGAGGATAGCGTGAGGGAGTGCATCCTATGTGGCAGTATGTCAGTCAGAGAGGAGTGACCAACAGAGGAGATCTAGGTTGAGAAAGTACATACGTCAATAATAGGAGTTTGACCTTTAACTGATACTTTTAGTGATTGGCGTTTGATATCAACAATTAGATCTTTAGCTTTGAGGTTTCCGGGGATCTCGATGGTGATATCTAGATCGGAGATCGTTTGGGTCCATTTGTAGGGGAGGGAGGCTTGCTCTGCTGCTTCATTTGCGCGCGCGGCGGCTTCTTCTTGAGGTGTTGGCTCTGAAAGTTTTGGTTAGTTGAAATATTGGAGGGTGGGAATGGCGGGGTAGCTGAGGTGAAGCAGGTATAGAAAGTGCGAGTTATGAGCGAATAGCCACAAGGGTTTTCTAAAATATGAACATGCGAAGTAAGGATTGGAATATAAACACACCTTTGTCTGCCATCTTTGCAAATAATGTGCAGTATTTGTGATTTGCAATCGTCAATTCAACTGTTCAGTTATCGAAAAGTAGACAAGGCTCCGAGGTGGCTTGCTTACAAAGCCACATTTAATGTGTCAGGCTTCAATTTAGCCTCGTCTTTATTCATAGAAGCACCAGCGATTCAGTTACATTCAACTACATCTACAATTGGACCTGAACCAAATCATTTTCCAATACCACACGACATTACAGAGGTGCTTCAAAGCTCCGCACCCCAAAATGCCTAAACCCCTCGACATCTCCAATCCATCGGATGACATCTGTCCCATATGTAAATCCAACCGTTATCTCAACCGCGATCTCGAATTCCTGATCAACCCAGAATGCTACCATAAGATGTGTTCCACCTGCGTGGACCGCATCTTCACCTCCGGACCCGCGCCGTGTCCCGTTCTCCACTGCGGTCGCACATTACGAAAAAAAGGATTCAAATCTGCTTTTTTTGAGGATCTAGGCATAGAACGTGAATGTGATATTCGACGTCGAGTAAGCGAAGTGTTCAATCGCAACGAAGATGATTTTGAGACGTTGTTAGATTACAACAACTATTTAGAAGAGACGGAATGCATGGTCTTTGATCTGGTGAATGGGAAGGGCAAAGTAAAACAAGATGCGGAGGAGAAGCTAAGGAGGTTTAGAGAAGCGAACCGCGGAGCCATTGAGGAGAATAAGAATGCGAGGTTGAGGGAGGTGGAGATGGGGAAGAGGAAGGAGTTGGAGGACAGGGAGATGGCGAAACAGAGGAGACTGGCGGCTATGAGAGAAGAGGCGGAGGAGAAGGCTGATGTTGAGAAGAGTCGCAAGCAGGTTTTGGACCAATTGGCTACCGGCAAGGGAAATGCAGCTGATATCACACAACAAGCGCACAAGATTATTTTGAAGAAGACTTCGGCGAGAAGGACCTTGGGAGAAAGGGATGCTGCGGTCAGTGCCGGAACTGGTAGCGCTGATGGAGAGGGCCTTACGATTAGAGGTCTAAAGAAGAAGGTGGCGCCTGTGGCAGAGAAACCTTATGATCCATTTGGAGGAGTCGTTCTTACGCCTACGAGATACGTATTACGGGATGACTATGAGAACCAGTGGGTCGATAAGAGTGTCAAGCGTGACCCCAAACACATGGCTGGTGGTTATAGCCTTCAGGAATATTATGGAAGAGCTATGCACGATGCTTTTAGTGGCCTTGAAATATTTATCGAGGATGAGATGCGAGATCGAGTTCAATCGAGCTCTCCTTCTGGTGCTACCATAGCAGCCGCACAAGCATCTACGGGGAAGATAAAGCTAAAGGTGGCGGATAGAATGGAAGTAGATGATGTATTTTGATAATATATCTAGTGTATAATACAGAGGAACAGGATGGGATCTGCACGGTTCAAGGAGTTCAGAGACAAATAGGATGGTTACTGGCGTCTGAGATCATCTGGACATAGTTATACATTCAAAGGACAGGCCTTTGTAATTAGTTACCTGGAGCTAGACACCTCTTAAGTAAGCATAAGCAATTTAATATCACATCGTGCATTTTTGATGCCCTTAAACCTTGCTTCAATCTTCAAATTCCAATACTCTCAGAACGCCATGCTTGTAATGATCCTTAAAACACCCAAAAATGTTCATCATAGCACAAAAGTTCACGTGAACCTTGATGTCCAAAATATATATATGAACTTTCCTTCACGAATCTCCGTCTTGATCACTGCTGCCAAGCTTGCTGTTGCCCGGGCCTAGGAAATACAGGAACCGTTGGAAGATGGTCTAAACCACCGCCTATCGGTTGCTGGGCGTTTTGCCAGCCCATACCAGTAGCCGTATTGACAAATTGACTCTGACGGAATGGGTTTGTATTTCCAGTAGGCTGTGGCGCAAGACTGGCGCCGCTGGTTTGGGGCCGGTCAGCTGATTGAATAGATAAATTTTTGGCAAAAGGATTTGTGCCTGTTTGCATCGACCTGAGAGGAGCTGCCATTGGTTGCTGAAATTGCTGGTCAGGTGGTGGTGTGTAAGGTTGTGATTGCGGCGATGCTGACTTGGCAAAAGGGTTTGTCGATTGCCTAGTGACTGGTGATGTGATAGGAGGTGAAGCTGGGAATGAAGGTCCAGCCATTCCCGTGGTATTCGTCATCATCGATTGTCGGAAAGGATTTGTCTGCTGTGGAGTTTGTAAATTCATTGGTTGCTGTCCCTGTTGCTGGAAGTTTACGGCCGATTCTTGTGGAATCGGTGAGAGACCCGATGGCTGGAATTGTTGCTGAGGAGTATAACCACCAAATCCAACACCCGTAAAATTTGGTTGCATGGGTTGCGGTTGCTGCTGTTGTTGCGGTATTGGTACCTGTGGCTGCATATTGAAGGCGCCATTAAAGCCTTGCTGTTGAGCAAATTGTCCAGGGTCTTGGAAGCCCGGTTGTTGTTGAATGAATCCATTCTGCTGGAGTTGCTGTTGCTGTTGCTGTTGCATTTGAAAAGGGTCACTGTTAAATTGAGGTTGCTGCTGCAACGCTACCTGGGAGGCAATTGGCTGTGGTGTATCAATGGAATCGAAGAAGTCAATCAAATCTGCAGCAGGTGCTTTAGGGGGTTGTGTGGTGGCACTCGAAGAAGCTTGCCCTGCATCAGGAAAAGAACGACCAGTCGCGGCTCTGCTTTCGTTTTCACTCTTAGAAGGTACTGCAAATGGCTTGCTTGAGCCGTTGGTTCCACTCTTTCCGCCCTTGCTAGACTCCTGTTCAGCAAGATATTGCCTTCGGTTTACTTCAAAATCCGGATCCATCAAGTAATCCTCTAGCTGCTTTCCAAGATTGACAGGTGCGTGCTTGAGCTTTGGTACCTCCACTCGCGTTTGATGCTCATATTGACGTGCGACACCAAGGTACGAAACCACAAAATCCGTTTGCCGGGTAAAGTTTCTGTATATCTCCATAGCTCGTTCTGCATCAGGTTTTGACATCTCGAAAAAGTGGCCTACAACTGTCAGCTAATATTTTCCCTGCTTGAGAAACTCAAATACCTAATATATTGATCATCGCCTGGTTTATGACATGGAACAATGCCAAAAGATCCAACACTAGCATCCGAAAGACTGTAATCGTAATCTCATTATCAGGCTCGTTATCCAAAACCTAAACTGTTGTTTAGCATTGTTCACCCTAGTTTGGGCATCTTCAATCGTACGTCGCATTTCAGTAATGATGTGATCTGATGCTGCACAGATTCTGTTTCTCTCAACAGTCCCTTCTCCACCGATAACTTCTCAAGTCTTCCCTCTGCACCACGTACAAAATCGCATTTTGTATCTCGAAATGATCTCGCGCGCTCGGTCAGATAGTTGGTATAATGTCGAATATTCCGTCCCTGGGTTTGCACTTTGCCATGCTCTGTTAGCACGGCCTCTATGAGATTACCTGTCGTGGCTGAGCCATCATACAGAGAGAGAGAGAGTCGCAAAGGAAGTTTTCTCTGGGCACACACCATCGGTAAAACTGCTTATTGCTAGCATGTTCCTATGACGCGCAAGATATGCCAATGTTACATCTGGAGACCCTTCTCTGATCATCAAATGAACTGTGATCAAACTCTTGAATACCACCGTCCATGTCGAATCGCGAAGTCGATTTTGTAACGCTCGGAATACTTCAGCTACTCCTGCTTCGCCTGAATGGGTAGCTATCAAGATATGCTCGATGTATCTGTTTAGTGATTAATTAATTAATGCGACGGAGGATTTGATCGGGGGTCAAATACTTTGACTTGGGAGGGGCAGCCTATTCACAATTATGCTCAGTATATGATCTTCAACCACGAGGAGACGGAGGACAATGTCAAATATGCCATACCTTGATCTTCGTCGCACCTTTCACAGATTTCTCAAAAGAACTCGACATCTCAAATATCGGTGTTGCCAGCTACAATGCGACAACTAGAGCCAGGGGGGAGTATTCCACTCCCAAATGGCGAGTTTCCCTCTTATCGAAGTGGAAGAGATATTATATTGTGTAGGTCCGGATGTATTCGGGAATGTATAAGTGAGCAAAGGGGTATTGAGTATGATTATTGTTTGAGTTATGTGGCACAGAAGTTTGCGTAGATATTAAGAAGGAGTTTGAACTTTTGAACGTCGACGTCTGTTAGGGTGTGCTTGTTGAACTCGTTCGGCTTTGTCGTGTATAATAGTTCGATTAGTCTTGATTGTTCGTCGCGGTGCCGTAATTGTGCTTAATCGAAATGATGACAAGGAATATAATTCAATGAAGAACCCCTTGCAAGATGGGCTAAGCAAGATGCAAAAGGATGCAAAACGACTTGAAGTTATGATTGAAGATATACTGAGGAGTAAATGATGAATTCTGTCTCAAATTATACACCAGTGCGAATGAATCCTAGGTACGGACGGAGTACATGCCAATACAATAGTAAGATAGCTGTAAGGATCAATTTGGTGTCAAATCAAGTTTGTTTTATTTCACTCTCACCTGTATACCACCCTCACGGTCCTCACTATTGCCGATTTAGTAATTCCATGGGGTGTCATTCAAATCTAGCACCGTTCGCAATGAGAGTGGATACGAGATACGCAGCTAGCAATCCGATTGTCCGAAATGCTAACCCTTCTACGGGTATCAGTACATGTCTAACTGACTAGGGGAGTAGGAGATGTTAGATGTTAGATGTTAGATGCTAGATGTTAGATGTTAGATGTTAGATGTTAGATGCTAGATGTTAAATGCTAGATGTTGATATTGAGATACATGTGATCTGTAGTAACCTTCTTCTAAGAATCCAAGAGACTACGAGGTAGAACAGAAAACCTTCGTATATTAATTATACGAATTAGAATTATATCTGCATGCCTAGAGACTCATTCATACCTAGGTAGGTACCTGATCGTCTCGCATAAGCTAGGTGCTTGAACTCTTCTCCAAATTCAAATTGCCATGATTTCCTTCTTCCAACCAACCATTTCTTCATACATGTGCTGTCATCAAAGCTCACTGGGTACTCCTGTTTGCTCGGATCAAATGCAACTTTCAAGTAGGTACCACGAATTTCCCAAGGATATCGTTATCTAGATTGGCGAATAGTAATGAGCCACAACTGGATCCGGATATTCTCCAGTATTTTATTTCAACACGCACAAGAACTTTATGGGTATCACATCATGATCTCAAGCATAAAATCAAAGGCAACTTGTAAATCGATGAATTTTTCAGCTACGTATGGAAGTCGAAAAGGGGAAACAATGAAAAGAAAATATGTTCGAGTATGACACTGAGATGAAGACCCCCCAGTAGATAGTACTTACTTCAGAACACAAACCCTTTTTCCCCGCTCCAAAAAAAATCATTCTTTGCTTCAGAAATGGTTCCTGGTTTCCATTCTGAAACGGTTACTTTTTTGTTCTTGATATCGCCAATACATAAACAAAACAAATAAGCTATGAAAATGAGAAGAAATAAAGTCTAGATTAGCACGGATGTCTTTGACCAGAAGAATAATAGTTGAGCTCCAGAGAATGACCATTGAAATGATTCACTCCGTCGCTATCCTTATTGTATTATAGTTATCCAAAATGAAGCCTTCCAAGATTTAGGGTTCAGAGATGCCTTTATCGCGTCCGTTAAAACAAGGAGGGTGTGTCGAACGCTTATTTCACTCTTCCATCCAGTTCTCGCAAGCAGACCACTGAAGCCCGGTGAAGGGAGAGTTTGCAGGCTCGAAAAGGAGGAATCGTACTCAAATAATACACGCTGGCTTTTCATCATCTGTCGAGTATACGTTAGCATTTGCGCATGGATTGGAATTGTCAATGGTGGGGTCTTACATGTTTAAAACTTGGAAGGATGAAAAGAAAAAGAGAATTTGAAAAAGTTCGCGACATGATATAAAAATTCTTGAGAGCGGAATTTGCCGAGACGCTAACCACACCTAGAGAGCTTCGAGATATATCTAACATCTCGATATACTTACTGCACAGTGCTCTGGTATAGATCGAATGATTCATGAACTGCCACAAAAGAGAAATTGATTTCAAGTCATGACCTTAGTATTGTGCTATCGCAGGCACTTACTAAGAAATGTGATCTTGTGCGCGCGTAAAACCGCACCATGGACTCGCACAAACGGTTCCCCCTCATTACTTACTGTTCATCGGAGAAGTTTCACCAATACCAGTTCTCATTTGAATGGAGCAGAAGAACAAGTTAACATTGACACAAATGGCACGCCTTGGAATGAATACAAGGATAGCAGTAAGCACTAATTTTGGAATCCTTTGAATATTGCTGATGCCCTATAAAGTCGCTCTGCCAAAGCCCAATCTCGATCCATTACATCCATGGGAGCAATTGCAACCATTGAATATTGGCAAAAGGGTCACTGTTACTGGTTTCCTGCGCAATAAGAAGCAGCTAAGTAAAGGACTCATATTTGCTACAATAAGTAGAGGGTCTTCAGCAAATCCAGGAATTCAGGTTGTATTAAAAGATAGCCCCGAAGAAGGGAAGATTAGAGATGCCTTCAAAAGTTTTAAAGATATCAGAGAGCACAGCGCTGTATCTGTGACCGGAATTTTACAGTCCAGAATAAAGAAGTCAGGCAAAACGGCAGAAGTCGTGCCCGACTCACTGATTACTGAGGGAGCCCCCGATTCGATTCCTTTGAAACGGTCTCAATTACTTGCAAGTTTTGACATCCATGCCGACGATGTGAGAGCAATCAATTCATTTCCCAGGGACATAGTTGTTGGACCAGCCCAGAAATTTGGGCCTGATTCCAGGCATCTTGAGGTTCGGTTCGAGCCAGATCTTTATGAAAGATTAATGTTTCGGTCAAAGCTGGCTAAATTAGTGAGAAAATATCTGTATTCTGTGAGCTTTGATGAGATTGAGACTCCCATCTTATTCAAATCAACGCCTGAAGGTGCCAGAGAATTCCTTGTCCCTACTAGAAAACCGGGCTATGCATACGCTCTACCGCAAAGCCCTCAACAATACAAACAAATCTTGATGGCAAGTGGCGTCACCAAATATTTCCAATTTGCCAAATGCTTTCGGGATGAAGATCTTCGTGCGGATAGGCAGCCAGAATTCACTCAGGTACTGTGTTATTGAATTGATACAGTCTACAAGTGCTAATGCCAAATAGATTGACATGGAAATGTCATGGGCAGATGGCCAATATGTCATGCAGACAGTTGAAGAGCTTGTAAAGGGCATACACAGGCAGATACAATCTGAACAGCTTGAAGTTGTCAACAGTATTGAATTGCCGAAAACAGAGTTTCCAAGGGTGACATATGAGGAAGCGATGTCGAAGCATGGGTCTGACAAACCCGATCTCAGAATTCTGGACTTGGTAAACAAATTCTCACCATTTCTAAAGCAAAGCTAATGAATACAGATTCATCGAGTGGATTCTATCATTCCAGAAAATCTTAAGGGAATGATGACTTCGATCGAAAACCCTATAATCGAAGCCTGCAAGTTCCGGCTCAACGGCAATTCTAGGAAGGTACAGCAATTCATCCGCAAGTTTATGGATTCTGCAGATGCCGAAGTATTCCAGAAAAATATTGATGGTCCTCCCGGAATATTTGTATTCGATCCCAGAAGGCCATTAGAAGGCTTACAAGCATTTGGATTTGAAGGTGCTGAGGCATTGAAACAACTTTACTCTTCTCTTCCACCTTCTTCGCATAATAATAATGATCCACGAGGACCTGATGCAACAACCACTTTTGATGAAGGAGATCTACTTATCCTTCAAGCGCGCCCAAATACTCCTCATTCGGGCGGCTCCACTACTCTAGGTAAACTCCGGCTCGCGCTCCACAAAGCCGCCATTTCCGAACAACTTCTTGCTCCTACTCCAGGATTTCATTATCTCTGGGTCACAGACTTTCCACTATTTACTCTCAATTCTGCCAACCCAACCGACCCTGGTCAAGGTGGCACATCAGGGTTTTCTTCTACCCACCACCCGTTTACTGCCCCTAAAACCGCTGATGATATCGACCTCCTATTCACTGACCCTCTCGCAGTGACCGCAGATCATTATGATCTTGTTCTCAACGGCGTCGAACTCGGCGGTGGCTCAAAACGTGTCCATTCAGCCGAGGTTCAAAAATTCATTATGAAAAATGTGTTAAAAATGAGCGACGAGAGAATGTCGGATTTTGACCATTTGTTTGAAGCATTAAGAGCTGGTTGCCCACCTCACGCTGGATTTGCAATCGGCTTCGATAGATGGGTCGCAGTATTGACAGGAAGAGAGAGTGTCAGGGATGTCATATTCTTCCCGAAAGGAAATAAGGGCGAGGATGCCATGGTGGGAAGTCCGGGACTGATCACAAGCGAGCAAACGGAAACGTATAATCTAAAGTCTAGATGACGTTAGACTACATGTGAAAGAAATTCATGAAGATTCATGAATACAAGTAAGAATGTATCAATGTTGAACGACAAATCAGATGTACAACTACGGCCTACAGTCTCGACGTACATCATGGCGGCATTGATCGGCGTTGAGAATTTAACTGGATATCATAGATATCACCCCCCTCCCCTCCTCCCCCTCGTTTATAACACAAAATAAATGTTACATACATACTAAACATCACACAAACCAAAATGATTTTTCGTCGCATGGCGCGCTTGCAAAACAAATACACAAGAAAGATGATGCAACTTTCTCGTGCAGCCTCAAGCCTACGTGCTATTCAGTCGTGTATCGGTTGTACAATGTAGAAGTGATTTTAAAAATCAAGTCTACAAAACCATTCCCTTGTTTTGCTTGAAGCGAATGCACATCATAGAACCACGAGGGGACAACCAAGCCAATTATTTCTTTTTTCCTCACACGTTGACTCTTGTATATTTGTTGCATCATGCAAGATACCGTCAACGTTGACGTGATGTTTAAACGATGCATGGATGATGTATATATGCATGCGGTGGAACTCCACAATGAAGAGCGGAGCGGGAATCATCGTGATACGTTTCGGAACCGGCCTTGGTAGGTAGGTAGGTTGATAGACAGAGCAGAATGGAATTAGACAGGGCAACAAGTTCAATGAGAAAAATACTTGTTTGTTACATACCAAGTTGGGAGCGAATGTCATTGTACGTCTATCGGTCAATCAATGATTCGATTCCGTCTGCTTTGCAACGGGTTATCGTTGGAAGCTCTTGCCCGGCTACGCGTTAGCCAATATCCTCGAGGAATAGATGCAGTTAATAGTTCACAGGATGATCAATTGTTTGTGCGATTCATGGAAGAACAATTGATAATAAAATGAATTGATGATAAAAATCCCCCTTGTGCATATTATACCTCGCGGCCTTGGGCCCTTTCATCCTCTATCTAATCAGCCTAGAAGCTGATCGTGTATGTATATAATCAACTGTATACATATCTCTCTCCTCTTGCCTCCTTTGTCTCCTAACAAGTCCCATTTGAAACAAGCAATCCCATTCCCAGATACCCTTAGAAAATCGTAATCACAAACCCGTCATTGCATAACCCATCGCGAGTCTGGTTCACGGTGCTCACTCATCGAGACTCCTGTTCGCGCCATCATAACCTCTTATATCCCAGTAAAACTCCACCTTTCAGAAGAAGACCATAACTCCATCAGTCTACTTCGAATTTAGACAATCTTAACGCGCCCACTCAACACCTTGGAAATCTCTTTCCACTTCACTCCAGTGCTCGTTGCTCGCTTGTTGCTGATGTGCATCATATTCCTCCACGACCCAAGACTTGTAATCTCTGGGTTCGTTCTCATATCGCTTGATTGCTTCACCTTGATGCTTGTGTTCTGCTGAATCCTTTTGGGATGATCGCGATGATCGCGATGAGGTAGAAATTGCGGATGAAGATGAAGAGTGTGAGGCACTTGAGCCATGTTGAGCCCTTTGAGAGGTAGAAGATGACGTCGAGTTTGACTTTGAGGATGCTGATGGTGTGGAGAGATATCGTTCGGAGGATTTTGAGGAAGAAGAGGATTTCTGACTGGAGGTGCACATTGTTGAGTAGATGTCTTTTAGATTGTTGTCAGTCAGGTTGATGGTCCGAATTATGGTTGAGTCAAGTAGAGCTGGTACCGAGGCTTCGAGAGGACTGGAGAGTCGAAGTAATGAAGGAAAGGAAGAAAGAGCAATTAAATAGTAGTAGTTTGACGTGGTCAATGAATGCATATAAATGATACACAAAACTGTAGATACGATTTTGCCACTGGAATCCTGCATATGGAGTAGGGGCACGTAAAGTGTTTCCAAGTATTGAAATTAAAGCCTTCAAGCTTTAGGGGTCAAGGATGGATGAGAAGATATAATCAATATGAAG